CTAATTGCTTTAATATGACAAATTGACCAATTACTAGCAGGTTATTTATAACCACGGTGGAATTAGTTGCTTGGTTCAATCAAGCAACCAAAAAGTAACTGATTTGTAATGACTCGATTTATCAGTGTTCAGAATGGTTGGTGTGTGTAGACAAAACTTACATTATTAGCATTAGACAAATATGTGCAATCAGATAAGAAGGGAATATCTGACTATTCACAAATGACATCTGAACCCAAAAGCATTCTAACCTTAGCTAAGTGGACAGGTCATAGTTTTAAGTTCTAAGAGATGTCTGGAAAACCTTCTTTTTTGTTTTGCTGACAAAGAAACTGAACCCCAGAAAGCATAAAGGATTTGCCCAGGTCTCCAAGCCAGAAAAAACACAGAGCTTCGACTTGAACCATCTGTATTGTTCTGATGCCCAGTCCTAGAGAACTTGTCCCATTGTGCCTGTGGCACTGTGACATTGAGCAAATCACTTAGCCTCTTGAATACTCAATTATTTGCCTACAACATGAGATAATTGGGGGGGGGTGTATCAGTTAGCTTTACTCTGTAAGAAACTATGTACTCGAAACTTAGCAGCTTGAAACATCAACTGTTTTATGCAGCTCCTGATTCTGTGGTGTGTCCTTGTGGTTGTTCTGTTCAAGACTGGCTCAGCAGAGCTCTACTGGACTTTCTTATGCTTCTGTGATCAGCTGGTTGGTCTAGGATGATCTAGTATAGCCTCACTGATGCTTCTAGTGGTTAATAGACCGTTGGCTGCGAATTGTCAACTGGGGGCACCTCCATTCTCCTCCACAAGGCATTTCACCCTCCAGCAGGCTTGCTCTGGCTTGTATACATGTTGGTCTCACAGTTTCAAGCACAGAAAGAAAGGGCAAACCCCAATGAGTATGTCCTTTGGAAATCTTTGCTAAGCATGTTTTCTATTCTCCCATTGGCTAAAGCAATTCACATGATGTGGTATGTAGCTTCTGAAATGGCTCCCAATGATTCCTGCCTCCTGATATTCATGTCCTTGTGTAACTTCCACCCCTTGTTTGAGGGCTGGACCTACTCACTTGCTTCTAATGAATAGAATATGGCAAGAATGATGGGATATCACTTCTGAGACTAGGTTATAAAAGACTGGAACTCTCTGACTCTTTTTACATGCTTGTTCTGGTAAAGCAAGCTGCCTTATGAAGAGGTCCATGTGGCAAGGAATTGAGGGTACCTTCCAGCCAACAACCAGTGAGGAACTGAGACCCTCAGCCCAACAGTTCTTTAAGGAATCAAATCCTTGCAAACTAGTCACTGAGCAATCTTAGAAGCAGATCCTTCCCCAGTTTAACCTTCTGATGAGAATGCAGCCCTGGCCTACACCTTCACTGTAGCCTTGAGAGAGACTTTGAAGCAGGGGACCTAGCCAAGTCATGCCTGGAGTCCTGACCCACAGAAGCTGTGTTGTGTTAATTTTGGAGTGATTTATTACACAGCAATAGCTAACTAATACATGTAGCTAAGCTCAGAATCAGTGCGGGAGGGAAATATTCAAGGATATGGTTACAGGAAAAGTAATTATAGGAATTATTCACACATATTTACAAACAATTTACCACAGATGGACTTTTTCCAGGCTTTGGGAGTCTAAGATGGAATAATTTCCACTACTTCAATGACTTATTCTCTGCATTAAGTATTGGGAACAATATGGTGAACAAGACAGAGGCCATGTTCCTGGCCTCAAGGAGCCTACAGTTTGTAGCAGAGGAGGGGGGATGAGGAAAGACATTAGTTCAATAGTTCCTTCTTTAATTATGTGTTTAAAGTTGAGTTAAGTGATACAAAGGAAATGTGTATATAACTTAGTTTGGGTTGGTCAGAGAAAATTTGAGGAAGTGGCAGATAAACTAAAGAGGTAGGCAGGAGAGAAAGAGACAGGAAAGAGGGAAATTCCAGGCAGCAGCATTCTTAAAGGGGAGCCGGATAGGTGGTCAGCAGCTATGGAACAAGTTCCTACTTATGGTCAAATTGTATCCTGCTATGTGATAATCGTATTGTGGCTTATGGTTTTTAAAAGTTCATTTAGAAATAGATGTTTAAATATGTATGGATGGGGCTTCCCTGGTGGCGCAGTGGTTGAGAGTCCGCCTGCCGATGCAGGGGACACGGGTTTGTGCCCTGGTCTGGGAAGATCCCACATGCTGCGGAGCAGCTGGGCCCGTGAGCCATGGCCGCTGAGCCTGCGCTTCCGGAGCCTGTGCTCCGCCACAGGAGAGGCCACAGCAGTGAGAGGCCCGCATACCGCAAAAAAAAAAAAAAAAAAAAAAAAAAAAAA